TCTCAAGATCGACTTTTTGGGTGGACACTGCCTTTAAGTTTGCGATAGACCACGAGTTGGGGTTAGTCGAAAATATCGATATTTCAACAATTCATTTATTTTTTTCAGCAATATACTTAGCACTGTTGGATTAGATATTCAATACTACTTTGGAATGTTTTCGTTTGCTTCGGAATAAGAAAAACGGCTTCAAAAAAAAAGACAACACCCCACAAAAACTACAAGGACCAAAATCCCCAGGTGATCATACAGAAAGCTGGAAAGCGGTTTGTACAGTTTCTTGCTCATGTTTAAAAAGTCCACAATAAAGAAGAGTAGAAATACCTGAGGAATGGAAAACAACGTGATTTCCAGATACATCCGTCCGATTCTATTTCCTTCTCCAAAAGTCACATTCTTTTTGCACTTCAAATAAATTTTTCAATAGAGTAAAGCATGCTCTACAAAACGATTAGAAATGTTTGCGAGAGGTTTGTTGCACTCAAAGTGGGCCAAAATTCCAGAAGATCCCAGTCTTGAAAAATCGAGAAACAAATAATTTCTTGTCCAGAAAAAGTCTGCTGATTTATTACTTGTTACACTTACACTCTCCATATCAAAATTGTGTTTTCTACTTCTCAAAATCGAAAAAAAAGCAAATTAGGTTTTATTATAGGCCAATGCGAAAGTTTTGCCCTTTTCGCTGTTTCCAGTTCTGTTCTCAAAAATTCATTCCTGCGAAAGGCAACTGTACTTGTAACGACTACCGTAAAATTGACAAGAACAGCCTATCCACAATTGTGGCAAACTTAAAGCTCGTTGTTTTTTCTACTTCCAGTCATGAATAAGCGAACGTGCAGATGAATGCGAGAGGTGGAAGTATGTACTAGCAAGCAGTCGTGGAATTTTGGATGGAAATAAGAATTTTCTCCTGATTTTTAGGTGCTGGATGTAACTGGCTTTTGGTTTTTGCAAACATTCAAATATCATCTTAGCTTGTTATGTCAACTAGCTCTGTCTAGTAGTACCATAGCCTATCTAGAAAAAGCACATGACTTATCGGGGAAGAACGGTAAGAAGTTATGTGACAACCTGATACACTTTTTTAGAGCACGTTATCAACTAGATCTCATTTAAACTTGGGATTTTCATTCGATTATGTTTAGGACGTTGGCTTGGATACTCCAATTTGGATAACTGAGTGCCTGTTCTCGTCCCACTTACCGGTTGAGCATATAGAGAAAAATGAATTACGCCTCTCTTCAAGTAGCATCTAGACGTTTCCGCGCTCTTCCAGATGTTCAGAACGAATATTTAAGGAGCGCATTTGATCAAACTTTTTAGAAGCTTTGCCTAGATGCGAGTGTAAATTTCAGATTCTTTAGCCTTATAAACCCCAAATTTAATTAGTTACAAAGAAAGCTCAAATTGCCGCTCGCCAAGCAAAAAATTGCACAGCGGCAGAATGCTGCTAGTACGATTTCAGAGTATGGTGGAAGGTGCTCATCAAGCACAGCACTTGGATGAGAATTTTGAGGACGATGAAGCGACATTAGCAGCAAGGTAAGACAATAAAAATAGTAGGAATTTCCTTTTGTTAAAATCTCAGAATATGGTGGAAGACGTTGCAAATCGAGACTATGATAGAAAACGTTGCTAAGCGAACTGAAATATGGAAAAAGAATCTAGGAAAGGCATCAAAAAGCAATTGGTAAGGAATAGCGACATAATAGCAAGATGTTTACTTTATCATTATAGAAGACGATTGTAAGATTGATTGACAAGATTATAAGTCGAAAGAATGGAAGAAGAGTCGAAAGACGGAAAAGTTTCTCAATTGGCACGGGTTAGCGAACGGCAAAATCTTACTATCACTGTTTTAGATATTGCTAAACGATACAGATCGAGTAGAGGTCATGGCAATGGAAATGAAAAGCAGAAGCCTCCCAAGTGATAAGAGTTAACTGCGGAGAAGGAGTTGAGGGAAGGCAAGGTAAGCAAGGGGTAGAACAGCACAATCCTACTTCTTCCTCTCTTTATCCTCGCCATTGTCCCGCGCAGGAGCAGGGTCGGCGGTTGTGGCGACTCGGTGGGCTCATGGCACCTAGATCTTACACCGAGGCCTGATGCTCGCCCGATACTATACGACGAACCTA